GGCCTGGTTATGGGGCTGGAGCTGGGCCTGGCTCTGGCCCTGGGTTTGGAGCTGGGCCTGGGCCTGGGCCTGGGTGTGGGGCTGGGGCCGGCCGTGGGGCTGGGCCTGGGCCTGGTTATGGGCCTGGAGCTGGATGTGGGGCTGGAGCTAGTTGTGGGGCTGGCCTTGGGGCTGGGCCTGGGCCTGGCTGTGGCCCTGGGCTTGGAGCTGGAGCTGGCCGTGGGGCCGGCCTTGGGGTCGCTCCACACGTCCCCATCTCCCTGTGTCCCACGTGGCACTCCGTGTGTCCTCCTGCATCCCTACATCATCTGTCCTTAACCCCCCCGATGGCATGGAACGGGGGAAAACCGTGTTGAAACCGGATTAAATCTGGAATAAATCAGGATTAAAACTGGATTAAAACTGGAATAAAATTGTCTTAAATCCAGAAAAAAACCAGGTTAAAACTGGATTAAATCCAGAATAAAACTGGATTCGATAAGGAATAAAACTGGATTTAAACCAGATTAGATCCGGAATAAAACTGGATTAAATCCTGGGTAAAACCAGATTAAATCCAGAATAAAACCGGATTAAAACCAGAATAAAACAAGATTAGATCCAGAATAAAACTGGATGAAAACTGGGTTAAAACTGGAATAAAACCAGATTAGATCCCGGATAAAACTGGATTAAAACTGAAATAAAACCAGATTAGATCCGGAATAAAACTGGATTAAAATCGGGTTAAAACTGGAATAAAACCAGATTAGATCCCGGATAAAACTGGATTAAAACAGGAATAAACCCAGATTAGATCCAGGATAAAACTGGATTAAAACTGGAATAAAACCAGATTAGATCCGGAATAAAACTGGATTAAAACCGGGTTAAAACTGGAATAAAACCGGATTAGATCCAGGATAAAACTGGATTAAAACCTGAATAAAAACAGATTAGATCCGGAATAAAACTGGATTAAATCCTGGATAAACCCGGATTAAATCCACAATAAACCCGGATTAAATCCAGAATAAAACCTGATTAAATCCAGAATAAAACTGTATTAAAACTGGAATAAAAACGGATTAAAACTGGAATAAAACCAGATTAAATCCAGAATAAAACTGGAATGAAACCGGATTAGACCCTCTCCCGCTGCTGCCTTGTTGCTCTTTATTCCCGATCCGCTCATCCCATCCGTCCGGCTGGCGCTTGGCACCATCCCACATCCCCCTAACCTCGTCACCCCCCGGCTGTTTCGGGAAGGGGAGTGGGGGGCGCGATTGGCGCTCAGTGGGATGCTCTCAGCTCCCGATCCACGGCCTGGAGGAAGCGGTCGTTGAGGAAGAGCATCCGGCCGTGGGGCAGGAGCCGGCGGAGAAGGATGTCGGGGGTGTCCGGGCGGAGCAGGACGTCGGCGCCCGAGCCCAGGAGGCGCAGGGAAGCCAGGAGACGGGGGGCCAAGCGGCGGAGCGTGATTTCGGCCAACGAGAGGTTCTCCGGGGGGTCGCAAACCAAGGCCAAGGCCAGGGCCGACACCGAGATCCAGGCTACCCTCAC